TTTCCAAGATATTGGACTTCAAAGTTGAAATTTAGTCGACATTTTGTCCAAAACTTCAAACTCGATTTTCTCGAAAACCGTAATAAAGGTAATTTTGTCCCGGTAACGCTTTTGGTTACAGAGATATTCAGGTTTGAAGATTTGTAAATTGAAATTCAAAGGGTTAGGAAAAGTACCAAAAACTAAAAAAAAAAATATTTTTGGATTTTCCTCAATTCTGACTTTTTAAATCGATAGAGCGAGTCCAAATTAGTCAGAAACGAGTGTGGCATCAGTAACATTTAAAAATTTCTATGAGAAAAAAATTCAAAAAGGAAATCTAATTTTTGGCTCTGAACATTTTTTGTAATCTTGACATGCTTGACATGAATAATTGCTCATATTATCTTCAATGATATTTGAGAAAATTGCCTACAATTATGCAGTGACGGATCCAGGATTTTCTTCTGGGGGGGCGCAGGCTTAGAATTATCAACAATGATTTCTTGAAAAGGACCTCGCACATTTCTTATGGAAAATGGCTTTCGGCTAAATTTTCTGAAAATTTGAGATAATGTAGTTCTCGATGTCCTGATTAAAAGTTCTCATGGGCACAACTCAATCCTATGATCAGTTTTTGAGTTACGGGTTTTCAAAATTGGCTTTTTTAGACTTTGAGATATTAATTTTTTTTCAACATATTTGTTTATATTTCCTCGATAAGTACATTTAAATTGAAAGTTTTTACTCTAAGTTTTAGGCGTTTTGGTGTCTTCTTAAAATGTGGTATAAAAGTTCCTACAGCGTCTTACACAAAATGGTGGCGGCAAAAAAATGTCAATTTAGAAAAAGTCGCAAATAACTAAATTCGATCAATTGTGTAGAATACAAAAACGAACGGCTAGATTTTGCCCTATTTTCAATATGTTGTTATCAAAAGTATACTTAAGAATACCTACTATAGTTTTGGATCCAAAATGTTATACCAGGTGTTCATTTTGTGCCAGGGCCCTGGTGTAGATGGTAAATGCCGACTGCAAGCGGGGTTCAAGTTCAAATGCTGTTTCAATGGGCATTATTTATTGTTTTAAGTTTACCATAGGAATAGAGTTCACTAAAATTGATATTGTCGGCCATAGTGTACAAAATATAAAATAGTCTGAGGACTGACGAGTATGTGACCTTTTTTAAAACTGTATAAATACCCATTCTCACAGATATAGCGTAGGAATAAAGAGTGCTATCCCATCAGACTTATACCTATCTACTTAAACTAATAAACGTAATAATTTTTTTCATTGCCTCACTTTGGGCAATCAAAATGACTCCACTAAACAGGCCCTATCTCAGGGTCTATTTGTACAGTTTTAAAAAAGATGAGACTATTCTATGTTTCTTACGCTTAGTCAATATTATCAATTTTAGTGAACTCCATTCCTACGGTAAACTAAAAACAATGAATAATGCCCATTGAAACAGCATTTGAACTTGAAACCCGCTTGCAGTCGGCATTTACCATCTACACCGGGGCCCTGGTACAAAATGAACACATGGTATAACATTCTGGATCCAAAACTATAGTAGGTATTCTTAAGTATACTTTTGATAACAACATATTGAAAATAGGGCAAAATCTAGCCGTTCGTTTTTGTATCATACACAATTGATCGAATTCAGTTATTTGCGACTTTTTCTAAATTGACATTTCTTTGTCGCCACCATTTTGTGTAAGATGCTGTAGGAACTTTTATACCACATTTTAAGAAGACACCAAAACGCCTAAAACTTAGAGTAGAAACTTTTAATTTAAATGTGCTAATGGAGGAAATATAAACAAATATGTTGAAAAAAAATCAATATCTCAAAGTCTAAAAAAGCCAATTATGACAACCGGTAACTCAAAAACTGATCATAGGATTGAGTTGTGCCCATGAGAACTTTTAATCAGGACATCGAGAACTACATTATCTCAATTTTTCAAAAAATTTAGCCGAAAGCCATTTTCCATAAGAAATGTGCGAGGTCCTTTATTTTTACTTTACTTATACGTTTTAAAGAATGTAGGTTGGGTGGTCCAATTTGGACACTTTTGATACGAAACGTCAATTTCTGAGCCAGATACAAAAAATAAACCCCCCACTCTGCTGACGCTCAAATTTCATGAAATTTTGATTGATGCAAACACTGCAAGCACTGCAAACCCCCTCTCCCCCCACTGCAATTATGCATCATTAAAAGGAGTATTAGATTCTCTATAAGCCGATAAGCCCTGCAAAATTGGTTTCTGTAACTTGTGAAGTTTCTGAGATATTGAGCTTCAAAGTTGAAATTTGGTCGATATTTTGTCCAAAACTTCAAACTTGATTTTCTCGAAAACCCTAAACGATAGAGAGTTCAGTGAAGTAGAGGACTACTACTACTACCTAGTACTACTCAAAGATAGTCAAAATTACTAATCTTCAAAATATGCTTACTTTCAAACACCGATATCTTGAAAACTAGTCGTACAATTTAAGATTTTGCTTTAAGACTGTAAAGGGAAAGCAACGAGCTATCCAACGATGTACAACACAAGGTAGGTTCTTATTTGAAAAAAAATACGTTAGGGTAGCTACTCCCTAAGGGGGGTGGCGGGGTGACTCAAAAAATGCTTCATTTTGGTTCCCCTTCCAATTCCCCGATACGTATTTAAGATCTTCCTGATAGTATTTTTTATCTAAGAGATATTCCCGATTGCTACTTTTCAAATTGTCACTCTGTATGTCCGACGTGGCCTGAATGGAAACATCACTGTCGGCATCACTGTCGGGGCAGTTATGCCCGACGCGGCATGCAATGTGTTGCGAACGAAAGTTGTGATGAAAATAAAAAAAAGTGTCCTGGCAGTTTAACTAAAAAAATTAAGAAAAAATTAAGTAGATTATAGAGAATATTGGGTCATATGCATAAAACACGAACATATGCTTTTGCTTGAGTTTTTTGGGATAAACATATTCTGCTTCAATGCAGCAAAAAGAGACGGAGATAGAGTAAAAGCATTTGCACCATTGTATGCATACGACTGATTGAAACAAAAAAATACAAGAGGCTGTAAGAGGCACAGATAATTAAAAAATTAAAGAGTATTTTCTTATTTCCCACAGTTGAACCAACAAATTTAAAAAAAGATATATATATATATATATATATATAAACGAAACCCATATAGAACTAAAAAGGGAAGTGAGGCAAGGAGACAATATTTCGACGAAATGATCAGCTCTTTCATCAATTGACTCATTAGCATTACAGAATGTATATTAAATTATGAAGAATGGTCAAGAAAAAAATTCAAGAGTACAAATATTTGAGACATAAGAGTATGTATTTTCTTATTTATTCCGGCTCTTGAACTGAAGAATTTTGATATAAAAAAAAGTATAAGAGCCTGGAATCGACACAATTAATTGGAATAAACTGCTCCACAGGAGTCAAGGATATGGATGTTTTCTGTGAAAAAAAAAAAACATATATCACATACCTACCGAAGCTAATTTTTCTTTTCATTTTTCCTTTTCTTTTACGTTTTTCAAAAAAAAAAATTAATTTATTTTAATAAAATTTATATTTACATAAAAAATACAGGGAGTCCGGAAAGTCAACGATAATACTGAAAGGGCTGATGGAGCAACTCATTGGCGTTCAGAAAAACATAATATGACCTTAGTAAAAAATCGATGGTTTCCGAGATATTGTCATTTTCATAAAATTTGTTAAAATCGTCCTCTTGGATCAGATTTTCGAGTGTGATCTTAAAATTTTCATTATTTAGGAATAATGTAAGCATTCTGAATTCAGTTTTGCAATTGTAAATAGACCTATCATTTGTCATAGACCAACATTAAGTCAAAGTTCAAAACATTTACTAAAAAATCTTTTTAAAGTGAATACTTAAGTATTCACTTTAAAAAAGATTTTCTAGTAAATGTTTTGAACTTTGACTTTCAATGTTGGTCTATGACAAATGAAATATCTAGTCACGTTTGCAAAACTGAATTCAGAACCTAAAAATAATGAACATTTTAAGATTACACTCGAAAATCTGATCAAAGAGGACGATTTTAACGAATTTTATTTAGTGACAATATCTCGGAAACCATCGATTTTTTACTAAGGTCATATTATGTTTTTCTGGATGCTAATGAGTTGCTCCATCAGCCCTTTCAGTATTATCGTTGACTTTCTGGACACCCTGTATATACAGAGCTTTGAAACAAACAAATACAGTAGCCAGGAATAAACAAAAAGTGAGACAAAAATAATAATTTTCTTATTCCCGGCAGTTGAACCAACAAATTAAAAAAAAATATATAAAGGATGATAAATGATCGAGACTGTTTTCATTCACAAGGACAAATATATAAGTTGGATATAAGAGTATTTTCTTATTGATCCTGCTGTTGAACTGGAAAATGAAAAAAAAAATAAAAAAGTTAAAGAAAATTTTTAGGAATTAAAAAAAATAAATAAATAAGAGCCTGGCATAGACACATATAGATAATCAAAAGGTTGAATAGTGTTTTCTTATTCTCGGCACTTAATGAATTGAAGAATTGCAGAAAAATGTATAGAAGAAATTATGAAGAATTTTGAAACAAAAAACTACAATAAGAGGCTGGAATAAACAAAAATTAAGACAAAATTAATAATTTTCTCATTCCCGGCAATTCAACAAAAAAAAAAATATTACCCCGTATTTTTGTTCAAAACTTATGATAGTTTGGTGAAATAATTTTAAAATTTGAGTCTGATAAATTTTATTTCTATTTCGTTGGCGGCAGGGAAATTTCAATGAAATTTTACTAACCACATTCCAGCGTTTCTTTGTTACTACATTAGCAGTCCATTTTCATCCGTGAAGTTTATTCTTATGTTTCAAGCGGGCCTTAACTTGTAACGAATCAAAATTGCAAGTGTATTAATTTAACCAGATTCATAAAACCTGATTTGTTTGTTAGTTATTGACTTAATTCTAGACTAACCTCCACCATTTTTATAGCATAAATATGGAAACCTCCATACGTTAGCCAAATCAACTGCAAATCCAATAACAGATAACAAGAAGTCGACTTTCTTGCCCCAAGTTTCACGATGATCGGCCGTCTGCATAGTGGGCGAACCACGAAGACGGTTTTGCGTCACTGTTTTACACGCCATGGTTTTTTAGTTGTTTGATATTTTCTTCCGCTGATGGAAGTCTGTGGTCGTAGTGTTGGTAAAAGAAGCCACACAAACTGCAAATGAATAAAACAATAATTATCCCATTGAACCGGTAATCAATCAAACGTTAGGATTGTATCGCTAAAAACGGATTAATTCCATCGAAAAGTCGTCGCTTGATTGATAGCGCCCGATATTCGAGAGTTAAAGTGGTCTTGTCCAAGCATGGAACAAGTGGCTCTGGATTGGACGCGTGTCAACCCCTTATCCGTCACTTTTGAAATTAGAATTATTATTTTCAGGATACGGCCGTCATAGTATAATATGGATATTTCAGGATAATTGTTATTGTTGGATTTGGTTGAGAGATTATCGATGACATCCCAGGTAATTAAAATTTTGTTAAATGATTGTTAGTGGGCGAGCATGTTTTTGAGTCAATAATGTCTGTATTTTATGAAGACTTGATTGAACATTGAAGCATTTTTTTTTTCCGGGATATTCGGAATTAGGTACCTACACTACCTACCTAACTCTTTTTAGGAAATTAAAGATGAACTAAACTGCAATTTAAACTAGTAAAAAGGTTTTTTCCGGGCTATAATGCGGTGGTCCATTAGTATTTCTACCTGACGTTTCGTCTACTACTGCGGTAGACATCTTCAGAGGCGGTGTGGTAGAGGACGACGTGTTCTCTTTCGTGTTCCTCCGATGACCGAATGACGTATGACGTGATGGAAGCCACACTAGCGGAATCAACCAAGAAACTGGTAAACAAGTTTGAGTTCTTGAAACCAGTGAACACTACGAAACCCACAGGCAATGATCGCACAGTTGTCAACCTAACCCAACGCGTTCTGACTGATTCGGAAACCACTGTCCTAAGAAAAGGAGGCAATTTTGCAATAAAACCGAAAGACCTGCCATTCGAAGAAATCATAGCAAATGTGGAAGCCAGCATACGCACATTACCTCAAACCACTGCGAAGGAAATACGCAATGAAACCTCTAGGATTCTACGACTTGCGACACCTCCAAAGTGCAACCTGACATACGAGGAAAGGAAAGCTATTCGCAGCCTGAATACAGACAAGAATATACTAGTCCTGCCTGCGGATGAAGGAAACGCAACGCTAATCATGAACGTGACTGACTATGGATCAAAAATTTCCGAACTGCTAGACTCCTCCACCTACAGAAAGCTGAAGCGCAATCCTACTGCTTCTTTATTGCGAAAAACCAATCAACTTGTTCGAGCACTATCATCGGACCGGAAAACATAAGGAAATTCATCAAATCTGAGGCCTTACCACCTAGAATATATGGGATTTCTAAGATTCACAAAACAGGCAACCCACTCAGGCCCATTGTAAGTGCAATAGATTTGCCCACATGCAGCATAGCCAAATACCTCACCACCCTCCTTCAGCCACGGATTGGCCAATCCAGCTCTTATGTTAAAGACTCAACTCATTTTATCAAAAAGATCAGTGACATCACTCTATACTACCAAACGACATTCTGGTTAGTTTTGATGTCGTCTCATTATTTACTAAGGTACCAGTGAATTAGGCCTTAGAGTATCTGAAAGATGTTTTTCCGGAGGAAATCAACAACTTATTTTACCACTGTCTGACGACTACGTACTTTCAATGACAAAATGAATTCTTTGAGCAGACAGATGGAGTCGCAATGGGGAGTCTACTCAGCCCGGTTATCGCCAACTTCTACATGGAACACTTCGAACAAATGGCACTGCGACCGGCCATAAAGAAACCTACTTGTTGGTTTCGCTATGTAGATGACACATTTGTTGTTTGGAACCATGGAGAGACAGAGCTCGAAAACTTCCTTAATCATCTAAACGCAATAGAACCCAGGATACAGTTTACGGTGCAAGTTGAGAAGGACAACAAAATTGCATTCCTCGACGTCCTCTTAGAAAGATTACCCTCAGGTAAACTGGGACACAGAGTATATAGGAAGCCGACGCATACGGACAGATACCTCAACAAGGAATCCAATCACCATCCTAGACAAAAGAGAGGAGTCATTAGATTCTATCTGACTCAACCAAACGCTCTATCCAAACCAGGGTCAAAGAGCACAAAAGAAACTGTCAGCAGGACAAATAGATAGATCAGCAATCGCCGAACAAGTGCTTACACAAACAAACCATGTCATTCGTTTCGACCAGACTCAAGCATTGGATAGAGCCAAACATTATTACACCAGACTTCACAGAGAGGCCATAGAGATACAGAAACACCACAACAACTTCAACAGAAAAGAAGAGGGCATGAACCTCAACCAAAGCTGGTTGCCAGTTCTCCGAAAAACAAAGACCCTTCCTTTCCGAGAACGAGACAAGAAAAATAGCGTAATACAAGCCACGCCCTCAACCCTGGATATAAATAACGCAGATCTAGCAACGTCGTATCCAGTCATGGGAGGAACACGGAAGAGAACACTTCCTCCTCTACCGCACCGCCTCTGAAGATGTCTACCGCAGCAGTAGGCTAAAAGTTAGGTAGAAATACTAATGGACCACGGCATTATAGCACGGAAAAAACCTTTTTACTAGATTTGACCGGCCGTGAAAGCCTTCATTCTTTGGCAATTTAAACGTTTCACCGGGTAGGCGGGGAAGTATCGTTTGTCCTATGACGCGTGACAAAATTTGCCAAAGCCGATTTATTTGATGAGTTAAAAGAGGCCGAAACTGATTTGAGTAGTTGAAACTTACCGCCCTCCTGACTTTCTTATTAATTAGCTCAGTCATTTTTGTGATACTGTCAAGGATTCCGTGAGCCCGTTCTTGATCCGTATAATTCGGAGGCTCCAGAAACTCACGCAAATCGATTCTGAGGCAGTGCTTGCATTCAATATTGAACTGGGCATTGTGGGATTGATAAGGTATCTGAGATGAGATTACCAGAACGATGTTTTATTCGGAAATCGTACTGTTGCAACTTATCCATTGGAGGTAATTATCAGAAGGAGAGCGAGATCTCAGCCGTGCTCTACAATCACGTTTAAAATGTCCTCTCCTTCCGCATCAATAACACTTGGTGCCCCATTTCAAATTCCCTACATAGATTAGATTCTAGTAAAAATACTGGGTGAATCCGAAAGTGAGGCTTTTTTTTTAACGGGATATATATCTCACCAAAATAAGTTGTTTGGCAAAAAATTGTTTATACAAAAAATTTAAGATAACGGAGTTACAGGTATTTCAAGGTCTTGAGAAGACTCCAGGGTCCTTATTCTCAAAATATGGGAGCAGCATTCTTATGAGAACGAAGGTCCTATCTTCGCCGCCTTATTTGCCCATACTCATGTTTGCATAACACTGACAAAGACCAGATCAATCGTTCTCATGAGAACGCTGTTCCCCAGTTTCGAGAATAGGCATCCAATTATAAAACATTTTGCTTACATTTTCTCGGAAAAAAGCAGTTATTTATCCAGCATAATGAGTTTTTTTCCATAATAGATAATCTACAGTTTCATTATTCCATCAGAAAAGTCAATCAAAAACTCCTTTCTCCATTTTCAACTTAATTATTTTTATATCTTCAAATACCTCTGCCTCCGTTATCTTAAATTTTTTATGTAAAAAAAAATTTGCCAAACAACTTATTTTAGCGAGATATATACCCTGTTAAAAAAAAAGCCTCACTTTCAGATTCACCCTGTATTTCGTATTTCTTCCATCGGATTTTTGAATTAACTGTCTTGCCCTTCCAGAATTTTCTCGAGTGTGGTTATTTGTTCCTCAGAGATTACAATTTGAATACATTCTCACTGATATTTTAAATATTCCTGGAGCCGGATCTTTACTTCTTGTCTTTCTTTTGATATCCAATTTTCTTGTTGTCGTCTTGTCTCCGTTTTTGTCTCTGGTCTTCCCCTTCTTGTTCATTTTCTGTCTTCGGGCTTCCTATTCTTATTTTTCTTTTTGTCATCGAGCTTTCTTTTCTAGTCTTTCTTTCTGTCTTGATATTTTTTATGAAGCAAAATTTGATTAACCTGCTTCATATTTTGGCGGTCGTGTATATCCCATTTCCCACTCTGTAGGTACCTATATTTCTTGAAACTTTGATTTTAGATATTAAGTCTGGTTGGCAAGTCAAAATTTATTGTCTACTTTTCATATAAAACCCGATGGAATGCTCCAGAAAAATCAGTCTGTGGATTTGTTTTTCGATATCAAAACCAGTAATAATATCACTATTTCAGTTGACAATAGCTGTCTCGGCCGTGCTAAAAATGTGTTGTTTAAATAACTATAATTTGAAATGACTGGCTGACTCATAAACTACGCGCTTAATATACAAAATCATTTAATCGAGAAATCTCTAGAATCACGTAAATGCCTATTTATTTAAATTACACAATGGAATTCGTGATTATTGGCGCTCGGGTCGCTACAGTGGCGTATTCCTCTCCGCACCAATGCAATATCGTAACAATAATAAAACTATTAAAAAAACATGCAGATGACGTTTAAACGAAAATGTTTAAAGAAAAAGAAAATATAATCATAATTTGAATAAATTTACATAAAAAACTTCAACTTAGTAGACACCGGACACCGATATGTGGGTGTGGAGAGCGGGTGGTAAACTATGCGAATGTTCCAAAAATGTTTGTTCAGGAATTGTCGCATAAGTTTTGTGTTTATTAAGGGGAAAGTTTGGTCATTTTATTTTCAATCCGCTCAAGTATCAACGATTTGGCGACAAATAAAATTAAATAAATTTAGGTAACTGGTGAAAAGCCGAATTCGTTCGTGATTATTGAGTTAAATAGCTACGAAAGGTGTAGCTGCAAAACATTAAAGGAGGCGATTCTGACAGAACTTCAGATTTCGAATCTCTCATTTCTGTACTCTGATTGGTTGATCGCCTGCAAAGAAAAAAAAACCTCACATCAGAATTGGCTCAAATTTGGCATAAAAAATTATTGGAAAATTGAAGAAAAATCAAAACAGATCGGATGTTCCAATTAAATTTATACAGCCAAGTCTCTTAAAACTGTCACCTAAAAGAAATTCTAACAAAGAGAAAGAGGTATTTTTCATCTAAAAAATGGACAAAATCAAGTCCAGAAGCCTCTAACGGAAATATATTTGTTACACATGAAGAAATCTCTATGAACCCCATTTACGGAAATTGCGAAACATTGAATCTTGAATTTTTACACTTTTCTCAATAAATCAGTAGGTAGATGATCCGATGTTATGAAATTATGTAAAATTTTTTCAACTAATTATAACTCAATAAAAGTGACAATTCTTACGACAAGAGACTGAAACGTTAATTAGGTATACATCTAATAGATAAACATCCTAAGTTTGAAAATCCTTACGCAATTGCAAATTTGGTAGAGACATAGAGATTCCTCAAAGTATTATTTTCAAACTTCAAGAAAGTAATGGCTAGACGATATTTATACAACCAACTGAACCTCCACTTTCAGGAATAATATAATAATTTATAAGAAACAAATAAAATATAAAAAACTTAGTCTGAAGGCCTACAATGAAGAATCAGCCATATCTTCAAACTCCCAAACTATTTTAACAAAACCAAGTAGGTAAAAAAATATTTTAATTGAAACTCGGCATAATTACGTAGCGAAAACCAAATCCAAAAAATATTAATTTGATATATTTCGACATCATAATATATTATACTATACCTATAAATAAAATTGTGGTAATCTAGAATCTTTGTTTTCCTTCGAAATGGATTTCCAACACATCCGCTAAATCAATCTCTCCAACTTTTTATAAGTTTTATAATTCTACAGTTTCCAAAAAACGCAAAATGAAATATTTTGAAATTCAAAAAGGGTAGGTACATGCAGATACATTTTCAACAACTTACCAACGAAGTGTTCTTGGCATCTCTGGCTAACGCCACAAAGTATAAACTAGATGGAAACTAGAGTCCGGTTGGCCCATAAGCGAAACGTTGTTGTTGGTTTTGGTGTGAAGACTCAAATTCTGAAACTGACGTCGATGATGGTAAAACACGAGCAGAGGAAGAGAATAGCCGGCGTCGCATGCGTGGGCGAAGCACCGTCCTCCCGAAGGACTCTTTAACTTCTTCCTGTTATCCGATTTGTGACCTTTTGAACGAAAGCTCCCTGCCCCTTTTTTTGGGTACATCCCTCGCCTATAAATTATCGGAAATATTGTTACAATAAACTAAAAAGAAATGATTGAAGTGTTCTGGATTTTTTAGTGATTTAAAATCTATTAAAATAATGATTGGAACTTTGGTGGATAAACTTAGTAGACACATTCAATCAAAAAAAAATTTAAAGTTAGAATAAGGAAATTATAGAAGAATATAAGACATAGTGAGTAGGCTCAGAATACCTGAGTTTACAAAGCCCAAATTAAGTTTTTTTTTAAATCCCCCAAAATGACATTTGTTATTGGGACTACTAGAAATCTAAAGTGGCCGATTAAGATAAAGTTGAATTAATTGAATACAAAGTTTACTAAAATATTTGCCGAAAATATTCCCTTGGTAATGCTTTTCCTAAAGAGAAGTGTTCCATGTTTCGAAGAAGTGACAGAACATAGGAAACACAGGGTAGGTTTTAAAATGTATTATTGTTAGGTACAAATCATACTGAGTGCGGCCGACGTCGTCAAATTTACGTTTTCATTTAGTTCGGCAAATCATTCACAATCTGGCAACATTGGGATTCCCATGGATAAGTTCCCATCCTACAGATACAATGCCTAAGCCCCCTAGGGCTTGAAATACCAGAGATATACCATGACCCATCTTCCGTACTTATGGAACAACCCTTCTGCACAATCTGGCCACACCACATAAGCCTACCCAGGGATGGATGAGCCCTAGAAATTATCAACCCCTAGGAATTAAACTGATAACAGAGATAGCCCTTAAATACTGGTTTCGTAGGTGATTAACTCTCGTATACCCGTTGTCCGCTAGTATTTCGAGAACGGAATTTACCGTTGATGAAATAATCTAGAGCTGATGGAAGAACGGTAGGAAATTGACGTTCATCTGAAATTCAGATGGACTATAAATATCTGGAATGAAGTAGAGAGGATGACGCTGCATTTCGAAAAACGAAACATAGACAGGCATAGGGCTTACATGATAGAAAAAGACATACATCCGAAAATTCAAGGCAGTTTTCAATACAGTTGGATACAACATCCAGAACATCAAAAAAAGTATCTCCCCAAAGCTCATCCCAGCCAGGTGTATATACACCGAGCTCAACAGCCAATGACGAAGGTCTAGAAATTTTCCTTGGAAAGCTATCAACATCCATAGACTAAGACAAAGTAACAAAATTAGGTCGCAAGTATTAGAAATCCGAATACCACATTGGCAACTTCAGATATGGATCCATAATGGAAGAGAAGAGATGCTTGAACCCAGAGCAACAGAATCTGTATGCCGTTAACAGTTTTGTGTATGAAAAGGTCTAACAGAAAATATAGGTATTCGGATGTCACGAGACGGTATGTCAAGAAACAGAATAGATTACCTACAAGATTATTTTCTAAATAAGTTTGAACGAAAAAAATTTTTGACGAAAAGGATAAGCTTGACTCCCATGAATTGAAAGTGGGTGGGGAAAAATTTCGTAGCTCACCGGAAAAAGAAATGAAAGAAGCAAATAAAAAGTCTTCTAACCGACGGAAAACTGAATACAAAGGAATATGAAAAAATCAATAAAATAATACAGAAGCTCCCGCGAAGACATAGAAACAAAATGAAACAATGATTGAGAGGGTCGTAGAGGAGAATAACAGCCTTGAATGTCTAAAGCCAAGACCGTGTCTTGTGGGTAACAACTTTTTTTTTTAAATCTTATCCATTTTTCCTGGATAATTTTAATTGACCATCGATGCCGCTTTCAGGTAGGATGCTGTAAGGGGTAGTGTTCAGGTATACCAATTTAGCGAAAATTCGGGAAACTGTTTAAAAAATTATAATGAAAATTATTAATTTTTGATTTGTTATCTATTTTTCCTGGATAATTTCAATTGATCATCGATACCGCTTTCACGTAGGGCGCTGTAAGGGGTAGTGTTCATGTATACCAAATGAGGGAAATTTTATTATAATCTAAATTGGTAGTTTTTTATTCCTTATCCATTTTTCCTGGATAATTTCAATTGATCATCGATGCCGCTTTCACGTATGCATGTTGCTGTAAGGGGTAGTATTCACGTATACCAAATTTGGGGAAAATCCACTTGTCAGTTGTCGGAACACTGTTTAAAAAATTATAATGTAAATTGTTTAATTTTTATTTATTATTCGTTTATTTTGATTGACCATCGATGCTGCTTTCACGTAGGGTGTAACACGGGGCAATGCTCTTGAGTTAGAATTTTTGTGTGTAGACTTCACACTACTGCGTTTCTATCAATACAATACTAAAGAGACTATGCCTATAGAGGGTGGAAATTCTAGAGAAATAGCCTCGTAGTTCTGCTTTTCAAAAAAGGTAAAACGGACTGACATCAGAAACTACACAAACAAACAGAACATAAAGATGGTGGACCGGACGCCCAGTGGTTGTACAGGGTGATCTATTAAAAATGTTACCCCCTCCTAACTTTTTAATTTGACGTTTTTGACTGAAATGTAAAATTCAAAATTTTTAGGAAATTGTCAAAAGTTTTCAACTAGGTCAGTTTTAGGCATACAGGGAGCGTCAGTCAAAAGTGTAGCAGAGCGCAGATATATTTTTTTAAATGGAAGACCGCATGTATATTGTGCGCTTATTTATTAGTCCCCTTCAACCAGATTTCAACAATATACGGTTGGATTTGTTTATCTCTCGGTTTAATTTCGATAGTTATAGGGAAACACGCGAAAATCCCTTCCTAGGTTTAATGTAATTTTTTTAAAAATAATAATAACTCGAGACATCTGGATTTATTATAATGTTTCACCTTGTAAATTAATGAATAACATTTGAACAATAAACTGTTTATAAATAATTCTCTCTAAAGCTTAAATGGTATAATTTTTCTTTCTTCAACATGCGAGAACTTGAAAGGGGTTTTCATGTTTTTCCCTATAACTAATTGAAGATAGACATATCAAAACGTATATCGTTGAAATCAGGTTGGAGGAGTATAAGCGCACAATATACATGGTGTTTCATTTAAATGAATATAATTTGGCACTACTATACTTTTTTGACGCACCTTGTATGCTTAAAACTGACTTAGTTAAAAACTTTTGACAATTTCTCAAAACTTTTGTATTTGACACTTTTTTCATAAACATCAAATGAAAAAGAAGGAAATAACAACTTTTTTTGATGTTGATCAATTTCCCTTTGTTTTGGCTCGTTTGAAAGAGAAATAAACAGGCTAGCCATTCAAAGTGAAGCTTTTGACATCAAGCCAAAACAAAAGGACATTGATCAACAACAAAAAAGTTACACCTCATAAAAAAAAATCCGTTTTCTATTTTGGACCACCCTATATATCTCGTTCTATTTTTGGAACAACATTAATTTGCTTCTCTTTATAACTGAATTTCCTCTATGCATCATTGTGATCCTAAAAAACAATAATTTATCACCACACTCTGACCCTTAAAATATATTTTTACACGTAACATATAAAATATCTTGAAATGAGGGTTACATAGCTTTCCACTTTTCTTTTCCTAATTAATCAAAAAATATGACAATGGTTCTTCTCGCACTACACTATCCATTCTGGATGGAACGGTAGTGGCAGAGAGCCGTAGGGTCGCATAGCAATCCTAAGCGGATTTTGCTTCAATATTGCTCAGGGATCTCATTTGACTCTCGTTTATTTTTATTGTAATCTTTAAAGAGGATTTTGTTAAGTAGGTACGTGGAGGAATAGGTAGTATTAGTATAATTTAATTTGACCGGGAATTGGATAAGAGCAAATATGCTTAAAATGCCTGATTAAAAATGAAAGAATTACCTGCAATTTTTTAATGAAAATTTAAAATTCCCCAGAAAGTATAAAGAGGCAGCTATGTCAGAAAAGGATTAATTATATTAAATAGGTATCTAAATTCGAAAACACTATGTTGTTTAGGTTGTAACCGCAATTTACAAACATTTGGCCATGATTTCAAATTAATTCTCACACGGTTTCTGCCTATCAATGATTTTTCTTTCTGGATTTGGTTTTGTCTATGCAGATGGCAAATAAAGAGTCCTGCTGGTTCGGGACCGTGTGCTTCTTCGGTTTTTCTTGGGGTGCTGGTGGATTTTTATATCCGCTATTTGTTGCGTATAATTTTCCAAACTGTTGAATTGCTGCTGCATTATCCGCGTCATGGTGTGGTATGTTTACGATTTTTTTGCAGTTGTCAAACTCCATGCTGTGGCTGTTTAATTGTAGATGATCTCAGGATTTGTTGTGTATTCGCCTACTTTGTGCTCGTCTCGCCTTGTCGATATTTGTTTGTCCAATATAGGCATCTTGGCAGTCTGCACATGGTATTTTATATATGCTTCGGTTTTCCAGAGGTGATTTGTCCTTCTAATTCGTAAGTCGTCTAGAGAAGAAAGAGGAAGAAGAACGAAGCTAAAGGATAATGACAGAACAACCGGCTTGTTCCAGAATATTCGTATAGAAATCGAAACTGTAGAGGAGAACTTGAAAGTTGAAAGCGCGAAACAGTAACGGTCCCAGGAAGAGTCAAAGGCGAAATGGGGATGGTCTGACAAGAAGTCAAGAATTATACCTGGTTCTGATGAATATTTTATACCAGGTAGCAAAATATGTACGGACCCAACTGAATCATTTAAGACCTCATAATTTTAAACAAAAATTCTCATATTAACAGGGGTGCGATCTTGATCAGTAACTGATGGGTTACAAGTGAATGAATAGACCTATCTATTTTTACCTGTATGCGCGCGCAACACGAGGCAATGCAATTTTATTGGCTAACTAGTACAGGTGAGAGGTGTTCGTTTTGCACGCTGGGCATCTCTTTGTCCTTTTTCATTGCCCGTGGTCTGACAAGGATCAGAATTATGGTTGATAAATAACTTGACGCAGCTTGACAAGTGATCGATTTTCAATTGTTTGTGTTTTTGATTGACAAATACGTTGCACGTCACGCGATTTTTCTCCTT